AAGGACATTCCTTTAATTTTTCACTTTAATATGAATATCACATATAATGTATTCCATGAATGAGTTACATGCATTATGCATACACGTGTTTCATTTCGATGCTAGGTAGGTTCATCCCTTTTCGAGCATCTTTGCATTTTCATTAGGTCGATGTGTCACAATGCGATGCTTCAATTTCAACTTTTTGGTTAGCCGTGTAGAAATTTCTAATGTTGTATTCCAGAAAATTCATTTCATTTCGATCTTATTTTTTCTTTTTTAAATATCCGGTCATACTACTTTTGTTTGCATCTTTTCTAGGTTAATAAAATTTATACAACTCATTACAAAAACAAATGGACTCTACCGATGAGACATGATTCAGTTTAGGGTTCTTATTCCTAGTTTTTAACTACAAAAATGGTCCATGAAGTTTGGAAAATGACAAAATAAAAAGGGACAAAAAAGAGTGCTAATTTCATCATTTACATGTATATTTAACAGTAGCTAGGTAGGGACCAACTGACAAAATAAGATCAGTGGTGTCAAATTTTCAAATTTATGACGAAATCTGTAAAAATATATCAACCGGATCAAACAATTTACTCTACTTATAATATAAAACTCTAAATATACTTTGAATGAAAATGTAATATTTTATAATTAAATGTATAAAATCTTATCATGGAGTTAGATGTTTATGATCGTGTATTTTTGGCGGTAGATATTAATAACTGTTATAGTCTTATAGCATATCCGAATACATATGAGATGCAATTCTTTTATAGGTATTTTTGTTTATTTTGATTTTATTTATCACTTAACGATACCTTTAATATTAAATAAAGATTTTTTTTTTTTTTTTACATATAAGCTTGAAAATGTAAAAATAAGTCACGAAGTAAGATCTTGCTACACGTATCAACCACCTTCCAGAAGTTAGCGGAATCATGTGCGCCCACAAGCGATGTAAATGCCTAAATTGAGTCTCGAACTATTCTGATGAAATTTGTTCAAAAAAGGTTTTTATCTGTGCAAAATTTTTTAAAATATTAAAATATTAATTTTTTTTTGATATTTGAACAAAAATGTTTTTAAAAACAAGGTATTATATAGAAAAAAAAAGATTTTTTAAGTGAATATGTTTTTTTTTTGTTGCATAACTATGATTTTATAAAGCAAAAATAACATATTCTAAGCTCATTGTTTTTGAGCAATGTTGGTTTTACATAGGTGCACAAACAAAAAATAATTGTTAAAAATGAATACTATTACCGTAATTTAAACTTAATCAGAAAAAATAATAATTGAATATAAAGCCAAAATGTAGGGATTTTATAATAGATTTTCCTAAATATGATGCTATTACAGTTTAAAGAAACTAACTTGCCTCTATACATTGCTATTACACTTAAATAAATGCAAGTACATTATTATTACGTCGATTTGCCTACATTAAATGAAAAATAATCGGCTATACAATGAAGACCAGATTAAGTATAGTAAGGTCATTTAGTAATATATATATATATATATATATATATATATATATATATATATATATATATATATATATATATATATATATATATATATATATATATATGATATTTAATTTTCTTAGAAAAAATATCAAACATAAGTAAATCCCATTGTTGTTTTTCCGCCACAGGGTATAGTTACATAATTTTTTCTGCGACAAGGACCAATTATGTAATCATTTTTCAACCTTTTTTTTCTACCACTGACACCAATTATGTAATCTTTTTATGTGTAAGGACCAATTCTGTAAAGTTTTTCCTACATATGGACCATTTGTCTAATGTTGTACACCATTGGTATTATTGTTAAAGAGCCATGCATACATATCAGGCTATTATGGGCACACTAAGCTTCATTTGATTTGGTATATAATATATTTTAAAAAGGTATAAGAAAGAATTTCTGGTCCTTGTTTCTACATCGTTCTAATCGCTAATCCACTCCACTTGAAACCCGACATGGATACAAAGTTGGACATTATGCTCCATAATCAAATTGAGATTCCACCATACGATTTTGCTCTCCTATATATTAAAAACAAAATCAAGATTAATTTAGTAAAGATTAAAAACAAAGTCAAATTTAGATTAGATACAAAGATAGCTAGTTAACTCTACATTCGAAGAGTTAGACAAGACATATAATTAAGTTGTTGCGAAGACTTTGGCTCAAGAGCTTCAAAATATTCACTGTAGTTAGCACCAAATGTCGGCTTTCCTTTCGGTCCTGGATTCCTTCCTCCTCCTTGCCGCCACACTTATCAGCAAAATTATGAATATACCCCTACGAGATTTCAAGAAAAGAATCAGACCCGTTCCAGAGGATGGGTGATAGGGGCGACCGTCCAGGATCCATCTTTTAAAGGGGCCCAATTTTTTTTATGGAAATTGTTATATTTAGAAGATAGTACAAGTAATTTTCTTTTGATTATGAAGGTATTATAAAAAACTTGATTATAAAAAACTTGATGCCATTGATGTATATTAAGGGTTTATTTTTTTCTTTTGCTCTGGGCCCAAAATATCAATAAAAGAACAGGAGGTAGTAATTGCAAAATGAATTGAATATATAGATAGGATTTGGTCATCACAAAGTAAGAGAGGAGTTTTTGAATAAAAATTGATAAATAGAAAGGGTTGTATACCAAATCAAATGAAGCTTAGATTGCCCATAATAACATGATACGTAAGAGTAAAAGTTTTTCCAATTCCACCCCCAAACATGGGAATAAGACTAATTAAGGTAATTAACTTTTCGGTTTGTTCACATGTAGGTAATTATCTTTTTTTTGTACACATCTAGGTAACAAATTTTTTGAAACTGTTCACATATAACCATTATGACCTGCTGTAGCAGGTTACCTCCAGCTACAGTAGGTCATAATGGTTATATGTGAACATTTTCAACAAATTCGTTACCTAGATGTGTACAAAAGAAAAATAGTTACCCAAATATGAACAAAACCAAAAGTAAGAGTAAATTACACGAATGGTCCCTATGGTTTGGGGGAATGCGTTTGGTTCAGAACTTATTTTTTTTAATTCGGATGGTCCCTACTGTTTTGTTTTGTTGCGTTTGGTTCATGTCTTACCTAAAAAGACTAGTGTGTCCTTATTAATTTATTTTTTTTTAATTAATTTTCTTATTTATGAATTTTTTTTATATGTTTAAAAAAACTAATAGACCTCACAAATTTGTATCTCCTCACCATCCTATCTTTCATCATCCTAAACTTTTTATTTCTTTTCCATATTTAATGACAACAAAGTATTCACCATCTATTCTTTTTCGGTCCTTCAACTTCAGCGAACCAACACCACAACCCAATAAAGTGAAGAGACCGTGGGTTATGGTGTTTGTTCGCCAGAGCTGAAGGACAAAAAAAAAAAGATGATGAAGACTTACATGTCACTAAAGATTGAAAGAAATAGAAGTTGAAGAGCATGTGAGATGGGATGGTGACCGATGGGATCCAAATTAAATTTCTCAAATGTGGTTTCAGATTTACGGTGAGAAGATACAGATATGTGAGGTCTATTAATTTTTTTAAACATATAAAAAAACATAAATAAGAAAATTAATTAAAAAGGGCATAATAGTCTCTTTAGGTAAGACAGGGACTAAGCACAACAAAAATAAACAGTAGAGACCATCCGAGTTAAAAAGAATAAGTTAGGGACCAAATGTACAAATTCCCCTATACCATAGGGACCATTCATGTAAGTTACTCTTACTTTTGGTTTTGTTCATATTTAGGTAACTATTTTTTTTTGTACACATCTAGGTAATGAACTTGATGAAATTGTTCACATATAACCATTATGACCTGCTGTAGCTGGATGTAACCTGCTACAACATATCATAATGATCATATGTGAACAGTTCCAAAAAGTTTGTTACCTAGATATATACAAAAAAAAAAAATAGTTACCTACATGTGAAAAACCCGAAAAGTTAATTACCTTAACAAGTCATATTCCCCCCCTAACATCAATCTAATTAACTTTCATTTTTTATTTGACATCAATTTTTTTTCTTTTATTATTATTATTATTATTATTATTATTATAAATTTCGATAACCATATAAAATTCAGATAATATTTTAAAATTCGGACAACAATTTAAAATTTGGACGACATTATAAAATTCAAATGACTATGTAAAATGAAACAAAAGTAAAGTTTGCTTTCAATCCGTATAACGCACCACACAAATGTAATACTAAACCAATTAATATATCTGTGATAAATAAATATGAATTTTGCTTTTGTTTCGTTTTATATAATCATTCGAATTTTATTATGTCTATCAAATTTATATTATAATATCCGAATTTTAAAATGTTATCTGAATTTTATATGATTATTGAAATTTATAATAATAATAATAAATAAATAAATAAAAATTAAAAACCATAAAAAAAAAACAAAATAGGAAAAAAGGAAACTAAAAAAAAAAAGTGAGAAGGGGTCGAATTGAAAAGAAAAGACTACTTATAAAATTAGCTAATAGAAAGTGACAAAAGCAAAGGGCTTGACCTAGAAGTAAGAATTTTCAAAACTAATGCTGCAGTGTCAACTTAAATTTCAATACCTCTCATATTGCTAAATTCAGTTGGACTTGGAAGGGTAAAATTAGGGATAAACCTTGAACGCAATAATCCAAGAGAGAATCAAATCTTTGTATCAAACGATATTTAAAAAGGTAAAATTAAACCCATATCCATTTCCTTCATTTCATTGCCCATTGCTAATGCAAAACCGCATGAAACGAACCATCAATATTCTATCCATCACCATCAAAGTAGAAAACGAACAATTAGCCACAGTAATAAACATCATTTCTCTAAGTTAGACATTTTAGTAAAACAAGATTATTCATAGATCATAAATCATAATACCACATCCAAGACAAAAATTGAAAAAGTTCCCAAAATCATTAAAACAACATATAAAACCATGATCAAATCTTTTCCTACTAAACAGGAACTTGTTCTTCATAATTCACATCCAAATCCTCCCCTTTGTTTTCTTTCGATCCTTCAAGCCACCCCCCATCAATCGACCCGATACTCCCATTCAACCCATCATCCACAAAATCCCCGACCCGTTTCACAAGCCCACTCGGAACCACCGGATAATCCCCTGAAAAACACGCGTAACAAAAATTCCCCGAATCGCCCTTCAACATCTTCTTCAAACTATCAATTTCAAGAAACGCCAAAGAATCCGCCCCAATAAACTCCCGAATCTCCTCAACTTTCATTCGATTTGATATCAATTCTTCAGGACTTGGTGTATCAACACCATAGTAACAAGATGCTATGATCGGAGGACTTGCAATCCTCATATGAACCTCTTTTGCACCTGCTTCTTTTAATAATCGGACTATTTTTGATGATGTTGTCCCCCTAACAATGGAGTCGTCCACCACCACCACACGTTTTCCCTCCAAAACCGCTCTTACAGGTGAAAGCTTCAATTTGACCCCAAAATCACGAATCCTTTGAGAGGGTTCGATGAATGTTCGACCAACGTAATGTGACCGGATTAATCCTTGTTGGAATGGAACTCCGGCTTTGTTTGCGTACCCTATCGCCGCCACCACGCCGGAATCTGGGACTGCAATCACCACGTCACAGTCGACCGGCGACTCTGTGGCGAGGATTTCCCCGAATTGCTGGCGGGATTCATAGACGGATTTCCCGAACACGACGGAGTTGGGTAGAGAGAAGTAGATGTGTTCGAAGATGCATGATTTGGGTTCTGGGTGTGGCATTAAACAGAGTGATTGGATGCCGTCTTTGTCGACGATTAAAACTTCACCTGGGTTAACTTCTCTTTCGTATTTAGCTTCGATTAGATCGAGAGCGCAGGTTTCAGATGCGAAAACTATGGCGCCATTGCTTCGTTTTCCCATTACTAATGGCCGGAATCCATATGGGTCTCGAACTGCGACTAATTTGTCTTCTGTTATAAACACCATGGAATAAGCTCCTTTGAGCTTTTCACAAGCTTCAACGATTCTTAGGAAGAAGGGTCTTTGTTTAGATATGGCGATTAGATGCAGAACAACTTCGGTATCTGAACTAGTTCCAAAAATTGAGCCGTTTTCTTCTAACTCAGCTCTTAGGGTTTGATAATTTACCAGATTTCCGTTATGGGCGACGCCGACGCGGCCAAACCGGTAACCGGCGACGAAGGGCTGGACGTTTTTGAGCATAGATTGACCGGCGGTGGAGTAGCGGACGTGCCCTATTGCGTTGTCTCCAGGGAGTTGGTCGAGTTTTGATTGGTTGAAGACTTCTGAGACGAGGCCGACGCCGGTGACGGACTTGAGGACGCCCTCGGCTGTGGCGGTGACTATCCCGGCGCCTTCTTGGCCGCGGTGTTGGAGGGCGTGGAGAGCTAAGTAGCAGAGACGTGAGGCTTCTGGGTCGCCGTAGACACCCACAACGCCGCACTCTTCACGAGGTTTATCGTCTTCGTCAAATATTAAATCCTCTCCATCTGGGTATGATTCCGATGATGAAATGACGTCGGAGATTGGGTTTTTAGCAGCGGTTGATGAACGGGCTTTGTGAGTGAGAGTGAACGACAATGTTTTGTGTAAAGGTTTAAAGATGGGTTTAGAGAAGGCAGGAGATGGTTTGTCGACGGAGTTACAGAGAGGGGAACGGTGGGAAATTGAGGCGGAGGTGGCAGAGGCAGTCGTGGTGGCGGCGGCAGCGGCAGCGGCAGCGGCGGCGGCCATTGTGGAAGGAGAGCGGAGAAGGGCTATGAATATCCAAAGCAGAATGGCCAGGTTTTGGTGTTTTTATGTTGGGTTCTCCTATGTACACGAATCAATTCGTGTATTACATTAAAATCAATATAATAATATTATAAAAACTTAAATGCCATACATTGGTTTTTGAATGACAATCAAGAATCAATAATTTATTTTTCCCCCTTTATTTAGAATCTTCAAAATACATACCATAATGTTTTGAATTTATATTTAGTCTCCTCTCATTTTAGTTAGGGGTAAGCAAATCCGGAAAAAAAAACCCGACTAAAACTGATGAAACCGAAAACATAGCATAACCAACGGTTAGGGATTTAAAATTTTAAAACCGAAAAATCAGTTTTGGTTTTGGTTTTACCCGAAAACCGACTCATCCAACCCGAGGAACCAACCATAATAAGAAGAAACCGGACAAATCAACCCAAGAAAACGTCCCTTGCAATATATATATATATATATATATATATATATATATATATATATATATATATATATATATATATATATATATATATAATATATATATATGGTTAGGTTCATGTGAGACGACTTAATTTTGTGAGACCGTGAGACGTATTTTTTTATTTATTTTATTTTTATTTTATTTTTTTAGCTAATTCAAGTTTCGAAAATAATATTTAATTTTTTTTTTTTGGATTTTACCATTTATTTTGCATTTTAAAGTTATTTTTTAGAATATGTACAGTGTAATATTCTATTAGAATATTTCACGTATTTTTCAAAAAAATGAATTTTTTTTTAATTTTTTTAGTTAATTCAAGTTCTGAAAATAATATTTAAAAAAATAATTTTTGGATTTTTCCATTTATTTTGCATTTTAAAATTATTTTTAGATTTGGTCTCATGGTCTTACAAAATTAGAATGGTCTCAAATGAACCTGAACATATATATATATATATATATATATATATATATATATATATATATATATATATATATATATATATATATATATATATATATATATATATATATATATAATATATATATATATATATATATATATGGGACAGTTCAAATAAAAACAGTAAATAGTGTGACAACGTAAAAACATTTTTTTATGTTATTATTCTGCAATGAATTTTGTATCGACAACTTTATATCATTATTCAACAAAGAATAAATGAATAGTCAAAAGTTAAAATTAAAATTAGAATTTACTACAAAAATGCACATACATAAATTTATAATAGAATAATAATATTGTAATGAATATATGACTAATCGAAAGTTAATATTTATATTAGAAATACTTCAACAATACACATATACAAAATTCATTACAGAATAATAATATAACCATAATGTTTTTATGTTCTCACACTATTTACTGTTTTTATTTGAACTTACTTCCACATATATATATATATATATATATATATATATATATATATATATATATATATATATGTGTGTGTGTGTGTGTGTGTGTGTGTGTGTGTGTGTGTGTGTGTGTGAAAAGTGAATATACCCTTAAGGGTATATGTAGCATATCCGACGTTGTTTTAATTCCTCGTACTCGTATTCTACTGCATCCTCTGATCCGTATCCAAAGTTTATCTAGTCCTAATTTGATTCCTCCTCTTTCGCTCTTCTTCGGTAACTCATATCCACCGCTATCAATTATGCCAGAAAATTTCGTCGGAAGGGTATGTTGGAGGTGATCGTCAGGGATTTGAGACGTCAAGTGTAATTCGATCGTCCAATAGGTATTTCCATGAGCAAAATGTTAGAAATAGGGGATGAACAGATTGCTTGGATTCTCTGAAAGTCATGATTCACTATCAAATTTGTAACACCCCGAAATATCAAGAGTAGAGTTGAAGGGCGAAAAGTGTAAATCTTGAAGGGCAACTTGGAGAGTCCATGGATGGACTCGGCGAGTAGGGTCGCGACTTTGGTCGCGTGTCAAGTGTCCTACTTGGCGAGTCCAAAGATGGACTCGGCGAGTAGGTGCTGAGTGGAGAAAACCCTAATTCTCGGGGTTGAGCCCTAGATAAAGAACTTAACATCCATACCCCTAGCCTCTTTACTCATCCTCAAGTCCAGAAACCCTTAGCATTCGTGTGTGAGTGGATCAAAGTGCATTTGGGATCTTGAAGAGTATTTGTTGAAGGAATCTTGGGAGTTTGGAGGCTTGGAGCAAGGGGTTGTGCTTGGATTCGAGTTTCATTGTAGTTGGGGAGTTCTTTTGAGGTAATATCTCGTTCTTGGGCTGTTACTCATATGGATTCATCATTTTGGGGTTTATGGGGAGCTTATCTTGGTATGTTTTGGAGTTTGGAGGTTAGATCTGAGGTTGCTACCTCAGATCTGGAATGGGGAAGGTCTAGAGTGCATTAAAGTCCATGTGTTTGAGTGCTTAGTGAAGCCATCATGTCCAAAACCCTAGCTCTAAAGTGTATAAGGCAGAGATCTCGTTGGATTCACGTAAAGTTTGCCACTTTACGTGATGGATGGGTTGTAGGAGGCTAGATCTATGTTTTGGATCAATTGCATGGCCTGGAATGCTTCTGTATGGATTCAGACCGGTGGTACTCGGCGAGTCACAGTATGGGTAGACTCGACGAGTTGCTTGAAGATGAGCTGGAACTCGACGAGTAGGATGAACAACTCGGTGAGTAGGTTGAAGGTAGCCTTAGACTCAGCGAGTCTGTTCTTGGACTCGGCGAGTCTTGTCGAAGAGTCCCAATATTTTCTGGTTGAGTCGAGAATCGGTGAGTCAAGGGATAACTCGGTGAGTTGGGTGCGAGTAGACTCAGAGTTCTTGGACTCGGTGAGTTTCGAGGTGACTCAGCGAGTTAAGTCGCGGATTGAGGGAAGTTCTGAGCTTGGGGACTCGGCGAGTCATCGGGTTGACTCGGCGAGTAGAGTCAGTCAGGGGTTGACTTTGACTTTGTCCAAAGGTTGACCAGTTGTCTTCCAGGGGTATTTTGGTAATTAAAGGTATTTATTGAGTTGAGTGTTTTGGTGTTCAGTGGAGGAGTTCGTTTCGGAGTTTGGAGCAGTGGGAACTTATCCTTTCAGCCAACAGTTTCGAGGTGAGTTATCCTCACTATATCAATAGGGTCTAAGGCACCAAGGCCAACCCTTTTATCGGATTGAGATCCGGGTATTTGTTGTTATGTTATTGCTTTCATATGTTTGCATCCTGGTAGTTAGGATAGTATTCGTTAGAGACCTGGTTAAGGTCGGTATCCTGGTATGTAGGGTGAGGCTATGCTAGTGACCGGTTAGGTCGGTATCCTGTTAGAGTATGTTGTGTTATGTGATCTGCTAGATCGGTTTGCCTGAATATGATTTGTTATGTGGTTGTAGGTTTATGTGCACATGGTTGTTTGGACTGGAGTTTGGTTGAGGCGGGTCCTGCTTTGTGCTGTAGGCCAAGATACCCAGGGCGGACCGGTTATTCCGAAGGCCCAGCAAGCGGTCCGGATAGGCTGTAGGCCCCACGAGGGCGGACCAGACGCGTCGAGCCTCGGAGAGTGGACCAGGCCGACTGAAGGCCCGATGCGGGCAGACCAGTCATACTGTAGACTCAGAGGGTGGACCAGGTGAGTTGAAGGCCTAGTGCGGGCGGACCAACCACACTGCAGACTCGAGGGACATCATTGGACTCAGAGAGTGGACCAGGTGAGTTGAAGGCCCAGTGCAGGCGGACCAACCACACTGCAGACTCGAGGGACATGATTGGACATGGAGGGTGGACCAGGTGGACTGAAGGCCCGACAAGGCGGACCAGTCTCATAGTAGACCCGATATGCATGGCTGTTCTGTGATTCGTTATGAGATAGCATGATATGTGTGCGTAAGTTACTTCTTGGACGGATATAGTTGATCAGGCTATATCCCTCCCAGAACTGATTACACATGCTAAGGCGTACTAATAATGTTCGACTCCTCCTCTTTCAATTTATGTTCTCCTAAGATATGACACCATGCTAGTATAGAATGCATGTAAGTATACTTTAAAACAAGAAATTATTTGTTTTCTAAAAGTACAACTCGTTAAAGCATTTTAAGAATCAGAGACTTTTAGTCCCAAATATGTTTATAGTTTGTATATCTTATGTGGTTTGACATACTTAATTCACTATAAACCGTGCTCTGATACCAATCTGTCACACCCCCAAACCAAGGATGGCGGAAACGTCCGGGGGTGGAGGACTTCATGTATAGTATCATAACCACAATTTCAATAGTAATTTAAGAAACACAACCAACATATATATAATTGAAAAAGTTACATCACTTGTATGAATTACATGTTTCAAAATCAATTACAATATGTTGACAAAATATGAAAAGTTTGACGCCTTAACCCCATCCTCAAAAGCACTTGATTACCTGTTTAGTGTTTTCCTGAGAATACAAGTTGTTTGAAAAGTGTCAACACAAAGGTTGGTGAGTTCATAAGCTTTTATTAATAAACTTAGTAGAAGTCTTTCACATGTAAATGTCGCGTTTGTTTCAGAAAAATCCGATATTTTCCTTGAAATCCGAAAATGTAGCCTTATTAACCAAAGACTAAAATGTATAAGAAATCATCATTTCTTAGTAGAAATGTCGTGAGTTTAAAATGATATGGAAAGTAAATTTCTTTATCAACCTAAAACCTACTTCGGTTTTATGAAACCCCGTAAACTTTATGAATTGTTATCCCTAGGTGAGTCGCTATAATCATACTGTGACTATGTGAACCTGCCACAACGTTTCTCAGGCGTCGCGAAAATGAAATGACATTTGTCACCCGTAGACCTGCAGGTCCCACTGTAGCTAGCAGCAAGGTGTGGGGTGTCAAACCCAATATAGATCTATATACAAGTATCACGTTCTCCCTCAAGGAGATTCTGATTAAACTACCAGGAATTATATCCCGCACTCGGACGTACGGGGAGAGAGAGTCTCACAACATAGGTTAACAAGTTTACGTGAAATGTTGTGA